GAGGTCATATAAAATTGGGAGGGATTCTGGATACAAAGTAGACTAATGAGACAGACTTCCATGAAGAGGAAATCTATTACATTAGAAGACATAGACTAAGATAATTTAAGTCTTCTGTTAGAGCCTCAGTTTCTTCTTAAACAAAATAGAGAAATTTCACCCTTGTCATCTAAGAATAGTATGAAAACAAGTGCAAAGATGACCTTATGAAATATAGTATAAATAAAGTGAATCATTGGGGCTGACCTGATTTTGTAGTTAACTAAATACTGTCAATCACAGTCCAAATCATTCCATTTTCCAGAATATCTCTGACAGAAGGAGACTGGGTCAGGGTCTCAGAAATACCACACCTCACCTGTACAAGCCAGATGTATGGGACGCTCCAAATGTTCCGGAGGAATAACTAGTCCTGCTTTCCGGGTAAATTCTATAAACTCCTTTTGTGATCTGTATTTGGGTTCATGAGCAGGAGGAGTGAAACGTTTCTTAGTTCTCACTGGAACTATGGCTGTGGGGTGAGTAGCAAGGATTGGCTGGAATTCAGGAAAAGGTTAGGATATAGATAACCTGGAAAAAAAATCTATCTTGAACAAACTCTAAGCAAAGATAGAAAGGACACATCCAAAGAATGACTTAGGAATAATTATACAGCCACATGTAAGAGAGAAAATGCATTACTATCTTAATACTTATGAGTGTTTCTAACTAGGCCAGTAAGCAACATTTACTAACACCACTCAACATTAACTAAAGGCTTTCTTGTAGTACTTTCCATAGTACGAGGACTATGCCAACTCCTAGAGATGCTTAATTGATTGAAGCAAGGCTACTCTGCTCTCAAAACACCTTCAGTCCAATGGAGAACTTAAACACCAACCTAATAGTAAAATGAACAGAATGCTATTATTAAAACATAAGAAAAGTCCTTTTTTTGGCATCCCTTCTATATTTACTCAGATTACATTCTGCTCATTACATTCTGATCCTCACCATAAACTTCATTCTGCTGTTGTAGCTCCCAACTGATCAATTAGCTCTTTAAGGGCCAGATTGCTTTTCTCTCTGATTATGAAGTTTGCTCAGGCAGGTACAATGACAATACAGGACTCCCTTCTTTTCAGCTACTGTTCAACTTTGGACATTTATAACAATCAAGGGACTGTTTGCAAAGGCCAAGATATGGAAGCAACCTAAGTGTCCATCAATAGATGAATGGATAAAGAAGATGCGGTACATACACACAATGGAATATTATACTCAGTCATAAAAAGAAAAGAAATACTGCCATTTGCAACAACATGGATGGATCTAGAGGGTATTATGCTCAGTGAAATAAGCCAGGAGAGAAAGACAAATACCATATGATTTCACTTACTTGTGTAATATAAAAACAAAGCAAAACAGAAGGAACAAAACAGTATTAGGCTCGTAGACACTGAGAAGTGACTAGCAGTTACCAAGGTGGGGGAATGGGACTGTTGAAAACACTGTGATGCACATTTAATAAAATAAAGAATCGAGGGGAAGCGAGTGCCCCTTCCAAACCATTACTTGTTTCCCCTTTAACACCTCCCGGCCAGACAGACCCACACCAAATTGGAGAAACTTAATCCCCTAGAACTTGCTCGCCCTTAAGGTCCTACCCAGGCTGTCCGCACTCGGCTACTTAGCTTAGTAACTGGGTCCCGTCTACCTAAACTGAGATGTCAGTCGTATTGACCAAGCTTACCAAGAACTGCAAAGCGAGTATTTCCCCTCTACTCTGTCGTCTTCCAGCCCCTAGAGTCCTACCCGCTCCGTCCCTACCCACCTGACGAGACCACCAACCCACCGTCCTGGGTAAGCAAGACAACCCCCGCGACACAGGGGCTGCCATTTTGTTCACGCAAAGGCCTCTGGGATGGAAATTACGCTTCAAGAGCCTAGTTCAGGATAGAAGGCGCAAAGGGTGGAGCTAGCCGGGGTGTGGAATTTTCCAGGGCGCGCGCCCTCCGCCGAAGTGTGAGCGGCGCGCACGCGCACGTGAGCAGGGAGGGGGCGGTGCGAATTAAGGACAGCGCGTGCGCACTGAGAAGGCGTTGGCGGTTTGGGTGGAACGCACGGCTGTCACGCGCCTGCTGGAGAGCTCTGGAGCGTGAACTGCGCTTGCGCACGTCGCTTTCTGGCTGCGAGGAGTTGCCGCGCTCCCCGAAGGTTGTGATGTTCGTGCGCCTTGTTTCGCTTCTGTTGAAAATGAGGTGGTGTACTTCTGAGACAAGTGTTTTTCTTCAATGCCTAGGTTGATCCCCGAAACGGCGAAATGAACTCGTTTCTGGTTTTTGTATCTGACGTGACTATGCTGGGTAACCTCAAACCCGAGCCAAGTTTTCCCAATCCGTACAGTTTGAAGAAAATTATTTCTTACTGTCAAATTAATGACTACGTTTATTGTACAAGCTTAATGACTACTATGTTTTCTGAAGCAAAAGACAAGCGGACCGACAAAAACAATTCTTATTTGTAATTTTGGGAAAGAGTCACAGGTTTAATATTAACAAATAATAGATGATACAGAAATGTTTAGCGGGTGCCACGCAATTTTGTAGCATTTTACATATGTTAACTCAGTTACTTCTCACCACAAACAAGAGTAGTATTCTTTTACATATGAGGTTGGGTCGCTGAGAAATTACTTAAGGTCACGTAATACTTAAGGTCACACAGCTAATAACTGGCAGAATTGAGATTCAAATCCAAGCAGTCTTAACTCCAGAACCCATGCACGGAGTACTATGCTGTGTACTTCGTCACAATTAGATGTTAAAGAATTCATGCTGTTTGCGATCAGCTTGGAAAATCCAGTGCTGAATGGCAAACACTTTCCACACTTAACCATAGATTTTTATCTTTTTCTACCAATTAGTGTTTTTTGAGCACTTACCTGAAGCATTTTGCGATGAGTTAGGAACTATGGGATGTACATGCAAGAGCTTCCAGGCGGAGATTGGAAGGAAAAGATTACTTTTGAGTTTGGGGAACACACATATTGTCTTATATTTTGACTTCTCAACTATACTGTAAATTCTTCGAGGGTACGAATACTCCCACAAGTCCTACCCACAGCATTGAACCTATAGCATGACATATTAATAGTGACGTGAATTAGCTGTTCTAGTTTATGTTAAATAAAAAACATTATTAAACATTTAAATGAGATACCTAATTATTTCTTAACAGACTCCTTTCTGCCTACTCTATGCCCCAGAAAATTAAAAATGATTCTTTTTTTACTTGTCTCCCCACTGGAATGAGGAAATGACACTCCATGTTGAGTGTTATCAATACAGAACATTGATATAGTCTATCTGGGATTATCAATTCCACTGGTAAATTTTATGCTGGCCTCACGTGGTAGCCAGCACATCCCATCATCTCTTCCAGTCCTCTGATCAGTTCCTCAGAGAATGCAAACGTGTTTTATATCAGCCTGGATGAAATAATAAGGGGAGTCAATATCATTTAATTCATTCTGAGATGAATTATAAGTGGGCTTTTTTTGTTAGCTGCTCTTTTGAAAAATTCAGATTATCTTCCTACCTCATTAACTCCATGGAAAATTGGAAGTGTACACTGGGGAAGTAACACTAAAAGGATTGTGTGTGTGTGTGTGTGTGTGTGTGTGTGTGTGTGTGCGCGCGCGCGCGTGCGCGAGCGCATCCATAGAAAGTTGCTGAGCTTTTTTTAATTGAAATATAATTTATATACAATATTATATTGGTTTCAGGTGTACAACATAGTGATTTAGCAATTATATACAATTCTAAACACATCACATTAAGTGTAGTTACCTCTGTCTACATGCAAAGACATTAAAAGATTATTATTGACTTTTATCAATTCTCCTTTTATATCTTTTGTAACAATATTACTTTTATTATATTGTCTATGCTGTACTTTGATTCTTCATGACTAATTTATTTTATAATTGGAAGTCTGTACCTCTTTATTCCTTTCACCTATTTCACCAGCCCCTACCACTTCCCCTATGGCAACCACTAGTCTGTTCTCTGTGATTATGAATCTATCTCATTTTGTTTGTTTGTTCATTTGTTTTGTTTTTTTTAGATTCTACATATAAGTGAAATCATATAGTATTTGTCTTTCTCTGACTTATTCCACTTAGCATAATACCTTCTAAGTCTACCCATATTGTCACAAATGCCAAGGTTTCATTTTTTTTTATGGCCGAGTAGTATTCAATTGTATATATATATATACCACAATTTCTTTATCCATTCATCTGTCAATGGACAATTAGGTTGCTTCCATATCTTGTCTATTATAAATAATGCTGCAATAAACACAGTAGTGCAAATATCCTTACAAATTAGCGATTTTGTTTTCTTCAGATAAATTTCCAGAAGTGGGATTACCAGGTTATACAGCATTTCTATTTTTAATTTTTTGAAAAACCTCCATACTACTTTCCCTAGTGTCTTAACCGATTTATATTCCTGCCAACAATGGACAAGAGTCCCCTTTTCTACACATACTCGCTAACACTTATTTCTTTTTTTTAATATACTAGCCATTCTAACTGGTGTGAGGTGATATCAGAAGGATATTTCTTAATCCCACAAATGTTGTAGTTCCCATTTCAGAAAAAGCAAAATAAAAACAAGAAGGGAACTCATTGTGCAGTTAGAGGAAGGAATAAGTGGTTAAGGGCTCATCTTTGCAAGAACAGCCTTACACATAGTAGACACTCAAATATTTATTCAATAAACAGATGAGTAGAATCCCAGATGAAATATGATGAGGTAGAGGGCAAAGTTGATGTCCTGTTTCTCCAAGTGCAGGGGATTCCTGGAATCCCTTGTCCTGATGAAATTTCTAAATGGAGCCAAAGAGGACGGGATATCTCATGAACAGCGGGGCATGCACTTGCATTTTTTTCTTCCTCCTCATAGATAACATCCAAGATCAGAACTTCTACTTGATAACCTACATCTGGGAGAAGTACAGTTGATTTGAACCAGGAAAATCCTTCTGGAGAATTGGAAGAATCTGATTGCAATATGTTCATCAATTACAAAAAACAGTATAATCCTTGGATTGAGGCAAGTAATAGGCTTGCCATGTATTTACATTGTACTTCCCCACCTTGAGCGAAGGCATGAAAAGCAAATGTAAACTGTCGAAGATAAGGTGACATAGAAGAAACCAGGAATTCTGACTTTCTAAGAAATGTTCTCAACTGACCCTTAGCTCACAATGTTAGTGGTGTTGCTTTTCCCATCCTGGAGTTGACTTTCTATGGCTCCCACACACTGGCTGAGAATGCTACAATGCCTGAGGTTACATATTAATGCCACTTCTTTTCCTCACCTATAGGAAGGGGTAATTAAATACCTAACTCACAAAATTGTTAATAACTCATTAAATGAGTTTTCCCACACTGGTTAGTTATGGCTACTGCTTCCAAGCCCTGTGATAGACCTGGAAGAGCTATCATACAGAGCCTAGAAGAGTCCTGGTAAATGTAACTGCTCTTTGTGCTGGACACAGAATAACATCCCACCCCAAGTCCACTCCAGTGCAGTGCCCCTAAAGCAAGAGAGCCTGGATATGAACTGAAAATCCTCAAGAAGCCCTGTGTGTTAGCTTTCTTCCCCTAGGGAGCAGTTCTCACCTCTGTTGAAGCTAAGACCACCCAAATGCAGGTTGTTTCCAAGCTCCAATGTGATTCCCTAATTCCATGCTGCACAGCTTTCTTCTACTAGCTGCTCTTTTTTCTCATGATCCTTCTACTCATCCCTGCTGCTAAACACAAAGACCTTTTCCTGCCTGCCTCAGACTCCTTGTTTTAGAAGGTATGTCTAGAAAGAGATATTGCTCATCTGGTTCAGCCAGAAAAGAAGCCCATGCATTCCACTGTTCATGGTAGGTCTAGAATTAATCCCTAGCCTCTTCTTGCTGGCTAAATCAAGCAATAATCCTGAAAGGGAACTTCAGGCTATTTGTGATTTCCCTCTCCCCTTGCACCACATTCAGGGAGGGGAGGAAAAAGGCCCTGGATCAGAGTAATCTGTTTCTAACCCACTTCCATTCCCAGGGATTACCTCTGTAGGAGGAAGGAGACCAAAATAAATCTGGCATATTAGCTCTGGGGACTTGAGGAAGGCAGCCCAGGGGTGCCTGGAGGGCTGTAGGCATGGGGCAGGAGCCTGAGAGCCTGGTCTCATGTGCTGGAGTCCCTTTTAAAAGGATCCACAAACTTGGAAAACAATGCCTAGAGTAGTATTTGGCAATACTAGGCACTCTATAAATGTGGTGAATGAAAGGATAAAGTATATAGATTGTGGGCAGAAAAAAGCAAAAACAATTCCCTAATTTTACCTACAACTTCATATCCTTATATGCAACACCAGTTTATGGCTAAAATCAATCAACCCACAATTAAGGGAGTGTGATGCAGTGGGAAGTCCTCTGGGTTGGGAGGCAGGAGACAAAATTTCCAGTCCTACCATTGTTGACATCAATTTACCCTGTGGCCTTAGACAAGGTACTTCATATCTCTGATCACTAATTTTCCCTATTAAAAAAATCCACTCTAGAGCCCTAAAAGCCTACAGTCACATGTGATGTGTATTGAGCTCCTATTAATACACAATGCCCTCCCTGAGCACATTTATATACTGACAAGAACTCCCCTTGGGGCCCCGTGAACCAAGTGCTCAGCACACACACCCCACCCCCAGTCTGCATTTCTTCTCTACCCACCATGGACTCTGACACATAAACTTGTATCTTCCAGATGACCGTTCTTTGGGACCCTCTCCAGTGTCTGGGTGAAGGCTTCCCTCCCAGCTCTTGGGCACTGGAGCCAGGGAAGCTGTGTGAATCTGGGAAATGTCCACTAGAGGGTACCACGGCTGCACTGGGATCTCAGACTGCAGGGAAGCCTAGCAAAGCCAACGATTTCAGGATTTGTAAATACCCACATTCAGAGATTTAGAGATCTCCGCTCACTGTTCCTTACCTGGTCCTCTCCTTATTGCTTCTTGGAAGGCTTGACAAGTCTTACCATTTTGACATCATTTTAATTTGATCTGACTTCACATCAAAGGTAGCTTTTTAGAGTGGAATCCACGGGGGCTTTGGCAACAACAGATACACCTGGCTCCCCTACTTCCAAACTCTATGGGCAAATTACTTAACTCTTCTGAGACTCAGCACACCCATCTATGAAATGAAAATAATAAAACCTTGTAGGACCACTGTGAGCACTAAATGAAATCATATATGGATATATGTGACTGGTAGACAGTAGGTGCGTAAAACTGTTTTTGCACTGGAGGATTTATTCAAAGAATTGCCACAAACTGGGAATGGTGTTGAGGAAAGAAAGATGGCTTTGCAAGAGCTGAGCACCTTCAAACAGGAAACGTGACATTGTGCCATTTTGCTCTTGAATCTTGCAGTTTCCAGACTGGTGCTGCTTGGCACTCCTCAGCCTCGGTGCTCAGTGCTGGACTCAGCAGAGTCCAGCCACAGCGCTCTTCTGCCCTGGTTTCCTTGGAGATGAGCTCAACGTCTACTTTCCACTCACCTCCTAGACAAAGGTCTCTGTTTGCCCCACTATATCCTGAAGCACCACATCTCCACCTGGTTCTGTCCGTCCCCTTTCCTCTCATTTCTCCTACAGTCACTCCTGGGGTGGAACATGCCATCTGTTACTGAAACTGAGCAGAAGTTTGGGAAAGGGGGAGGGAAAATGTGTTAGGGCTTGCGTGTCCGGAGACACGTTACAGCTGCAGAACAAGCCAGGATCAAACTACAAGCCAGAGGCTTTAGGGCAGGCAGCCGTGAGGCCCGTCCCTCCACTCTCCTCTCTGTCTCACCCCAGAGGTTTCCTGGCATGAGTGGGAGAGGTTGGTATCAAGTCCTTGAGCCCTGACTCACTCCCTGACCTAGTTGGGTGTTACCCAGTTATCTCCCAAATGTCTCTCCAGAGGCCTTTGTTAGCAACACAACAGTGTCACCCCAGAAGACAGTAGAGACCAAAGAGAAAAGCAGACCACATAGTTCTTCATCCCCATCCGGGGAGCCCAAGAACAAATAAGAAGTTTACAGTCCTCATGGCTTTATGCACCACCCAGGAGGTTACATTAGTTATAAAATGAACAAAATCGTTTCACATTGCTACACTGAGATTGGCTATTTTCCAGACTGCTTTATAGAAAAAATTGTGCTTAACTTTCTTAAAAAAGAAAAAAATCATTGTTTTATTTTAATTGGACAGGGGCAGGGGAAGGGGCTCTGGAGAAAGGAGATGAGGACTGGAACATTGAGCCAGGAAGTGACTGGCCATTTTCACATAATGAGTCAAAGACCTATCTAGAGACATAATTCAGGTTTCTTAACCCCACCCCAAATTCCATTCTTTTCCTTGGCCTAGTTCCTTATGGACTGTAGGAATGTTCTGGGCTCTCTGGACTTCACAGAAGTTCTTATAACCCTCTATTCCTGAAGGTTCAATAGGAAGTCAATTGTATCATGGTTATACAGTGGGTCATATGTGTACCGTTCACTATCTGTCCTGTAGAAATGTGAGATATGTTTGTTGCCTCCTTCATAGGTTGTTGAAAACATTGTATAAGTTATCTAAGATTCAAAGAAGACCTATGTAGTAGTCTGCATGAGATTAGATCTCAGGCACAGGAGATTCCATTTTTAAATCATTTCTTGCTGTTCAGATACTAATATTCTTGTGAATCACTGTACCAGTAGACTCTGAAAACTATCATTTTACCTCCCTTTTATTTGAAGGTCCAAATCCTTAAGGTCATGCTCCCTAAAGACATTAGCTGGTTTCCAAGAAAGCAGATTTTAGGTTTATCCTTTGGCAGAGACAGAGTTATTCCACACAGGCCAGAACATTCTTTCTGCCAGAGTTCCCCATCTGGAAGAAAAGAGAGAAAGAGCTTCAGAGTTTCCATAAAGGCTGCCTAAAGGAAAGGAAGGGAAAGTGAGCCACAGGGAGGGAAAGAGAAAGCTTCCAGGGGTGGAACCCCAAACAGCCAACCACAGTCTGAAGAGAGTATCAGATCAGTAGACCTAAAATCCTGGCCCAGTAGTGCCGCACCTTTCCCTTCCTCCTATCCCTTAGTCAGTATTTATTTTGCTCCTCATTCCTTTATCTTTCACATGTACTTATTTGTCCTGGCTGTGCCAGCTCAGAATTTTCCTTGGATTCTTTGTTTTTTTATCTGTAGCTCCCTTTCAATTTTGTTCTCTCCTTGTGGATGACTCTTAGATACTCTTAGACTACTTCTTAATATTTCTCAGAAAAGTAGGATTACTGAGTTAGAAGGAACTTTCTCATAACCTATGATGCACAGGACTTTAGCCAGTCCAGGGAGCTGCTGAAATTAAATGCCAATTTTGTGCATATATGCATCTTTCTGCCAAGAAGGCTCATGGCTTCTAATAGGTTCTCATACCTTCCCTTTAAATCCCTGCTCTTGACCATGCATTTCAGTGTTTTTCAGAATAAGGCTGGTGTAAGTCCAGGAAGAGGAAATCCCGGGGCAAAATACCTCTAAAACCACAGTCAGTCAAAGGGCTGGGAACCCAAGTTAATTTGAGAACCTAGATCATGACTTCCATTAAAAAAAATGAATAAAATAGTCAAGAAAATATCAATGAGCATCATACTTAGTAAAGACATTAGTTTTAATTAGTATTTGACTAAAATTACATACATAACAACTTCATGATTTTAGCTTTTTATAATAAAAACACCACTAAATGAATGAATATTAAGTGAATCTATAGATGCTGCTCTAATAACTGGGGATATATGGATTCAAGAGACATGTTTCTGGCTTCTAGAACTTTGTAAGGCAGCTCATTCTACTCTCGAGCACCTGATTGTGACATTGTGACAAATTCCTTCCTGTATTGATGTAATATTTGCTTTCCTCTTTTTTTTTCTTCCCATGGGTATACAGGTCATGTTTCTTGTCCTTATACTTAAATTTCACAATTAAATACTGAGCATAAGAATATGCTGGCCATTACATCCAGGTTTGAAGTTAAAAGCATAAAGATACATTAGATTTTGAAGAATTACACATTTAAGCAATCTAGGATGTGATTAGATTCTACACATTTACACAAATTAAATGACACAAGTATAAATGCAGGACAGTAAGACATGTAAAACTTTAGGTTGCCATTAGAGGAAAAACCTGTTCTGGTTGAGTCTCCCCTTAACTTAAGACAAGCTAAGGAGTCTTTGTTTCCGTGCAAAAATTCATAGTATAAAACCCCTGTTAGGAGGAAACTAGCAACAGGATAGGTTAAGGAATTGGCTCAAGCAAATTCAGTGTGGGGCCCGGCTGGTCTGAAGGTTATAGGGCTGCCTGGAAGTTGGAGATCCCACTGGATGTTGCAGTCCAAGGACAGAGCTGCAGATTAGAGAAGCAGGCTGGAAACTGGAGGCAGAATGGTTAATACATTCTTCAGATGGTTAGTACATTCTCCAGGATGCTTTCCTCAGAGTTTGCTCCCTTTTTACCCAGTGATTCTTGTTTGCCCTCTGCAGCATCACTAAGACCCTACATCCTCTTCTATGAGGTTGAACCAAATGAAATTGCCATTTGTAGATCAAAATGGTTGAATTTTGGCAATTTCATATTTTTAGCCTACTTGACAAAATAAGCTATTCAAGGACAACTATTATTTATCTACCCTAGTCTTCTCTTCCCACATTTAACATCTCTAAACTCCACCAAGTCTTCCTTACCTGGTGAAATTACTGAGTCCTTTTCCAACCTTATCTTTTACTCAGAGTATAATAGTTCTTCAATATATTTTTTAATGTGGGGCACCCAGAACTGGTCAGTTCAAAATACTGTGAGACTATTATCTCTCTTGGTCTGACATCATGTCTTCATGAAATTGTGACTGCTTTGGGGTTGGTGAGTCCTAAAAATAAAATCCTTGGCAACATTTTATTTTTCACATAAAATGCTGTCGAGCCAGTCCCACTCCTTCCTATACTATTGATTTAAAAATTTTTTAACTAAATATAGGTCTTCACTTTGTCCCTGTCAAATTTCATCTTGTTGATTTTGGCACCTTCCAATCTGTCAAGATGATTTTAAATCTTGTTTCTATCATCTATTCAATTATTTTTCCCAGCCAGATCATCATCAAAGTTATGGATTTTAAAAAATGTTTAAAGGACAATGAGGACCCTCTCTTTGTTGATATAGATCTTGTAATCAATATCTTTTGAGTTCAGTTGAAAACCTAGTTAAAAACCTACATAACTGTGACTATCCACCCACAACTCCTCAGCCTCATTTTCTTAGCTCCATCTTCCTGCTCCTTTACTACTTCTCTCTAATCTGCCCCTTGTCCATTAAGCAAACCCACCAGACCCACCCAGGTACCACATAACTATGGATTTCTGTATGGAAGCCACAAACACCAGCTGTTTTTAAAGAAATCACTAAGATCCTTCCGTCTTGCTAATTCCCCACCTGCTGTCATGCTGATCTTCCCTTCCTGCAAGTCTGTGGAAGGCTTTGTGATGCCCAACCCTCATTACCCCCACCAGCCACTCCAAATAGGATGCCTTTATATTCTTTTAGGATGTAGAGTCTGGCTTGGACTTTGACATGGCTCTTCCCATGGGCTCTTGGTGCTTTCCTCCTGTGTACAATAGAATTCTCTTCTTCAGCTTGACTATTATTCAAAAAATAAGGTGTATAACCTTGTGATCTTTTTAATGGCTATATAGTATTCCATCACATAGACATACTATGTGATGGACACTGAGGTGGTTTCTAAACTTTTGGTATTACAAAAAGGCCATGAGTCAGCTTGCAAGTACCAAAGTACAATGAATTTGTGGAAATAGAATTGAAGGGTCAAAAGACATGTACATTTTTATTTTGATAGATTGTGACAAATTGTTCTCCAAGGAGTTGTACTATTTTGCTTTAGTGGTGGTTAAAATCTCAGCAACCTAAGCAATTTTGAATTAAATATACCTGTTCTTAATAGAAATCTCCCGATTATGCTATTGGGAGTTTGAGATCATTTTTAAAATTTCCCTTCTCCCTCATTTCTCCTCCTTTTTTTCTTCTCTGATTGTTCCCCAACTCTGAACTCCAAATTCTTCTCATTCATTTGGATAAAGTCACTCTACTGTCCAACTACTTACCTCTGCCCCAGCCCTGCATTTGCATGTACAAACCTCAGTATAGTACACTTACCACCATCCAAAGCCATCCTCCTTAGTAATAACAATCTTGAGCACTAACATGTATGAAGCTATCCTTTGAAAAACCTTATGACGCAGGTACCATTATTATACCTACTTCATGGGTGAGGACATTGAGCTATAGGGTGGTGAAGTGACTTCCAAGGTTACACAGTTTAAAAATTGCACACCTACTATTTGAACCTAGATGGCAGGTGTCTAGAGATTAAGCTCTGAACCCATGCAGACAGACACCTCTCTTGGGAGATTAGGGTTCTAGCAAATTCTAACCTAACTTTCTTAGTGATTCCGGATAACAATTGAGGCTCTGGTCTCTACCCTATCCCTATCTAGCCTACAGCCTACTCTGTGATCAGCTCTGCCCCACAAAAGTGTCTGGAAAAAACAAGTTTCAGAACTGCCTTAGCCAGAGGTAGAGGAAAAAATGTGGGGTGGAATCACAGGCCGAGGGGGACATCAGTCAGTCCCTCTCCCTCTGCAGAGGTGCGGCCTCCCTGTTCTGGTCTCTGGGTGGGTCTCCCCAGACAGGAAGGGAACAGTTGGCTTAGTCAGTCTAATTTTCCCTGCAACTGATCACATGATGAAATCCAGAAGGTGCCTGAGGTCAATTTAGGAAATTCTATTTTCTATTCAACATTTATTGAGTCCCAACAATGGGCCAGGCACTGTGCTGTGTTACTGTCCAAGGTAAATAAGTCACATGCTTTAGAGGTGAAGATAAGCACTTTAATTGCTAGTTACCTACAGTGTGATAAGTGTCTCAATAGCTAGAGATGTGAGTGTATTGTTTGGAGTGTGAGAGGGCAAGAGGAGAAAGGGAAAGAGAAAGTGCAAGTAAGGAGTTTGTCCCTGGGGGTTTGGAGTTTTAAAAAACAATTCAGATTAGGGAAAGAAATAATAACAGTCTCAGTAAGGATTTCTGGCAAAAGGGAGGCACTTTCATGAGTGCTGAGTTCTTCAACTGCAGGTAATTTCAAATACCTTGCCGTTTATCTGGCATGGTGGGGGAATGAAAGAATGAGAGGGCAAAGAGGGTCAGGAAAAGTTCCAAGATCCATAATTGTGGGGGGAAATGTTAATTCCTGTGAAATGTTAATTCCTGGTTTTTCTTGGCAGCTTCTTTGTAAATTGTGATGACAGCTGGTGGTGGGGAGAACAGAATCACTGAAATCACCAGTGACCACAGCTATCACCTGAGCCATTCCAGGTGGCAGGCCACTATGGATTCTTTATTTTTTCTCTTACTCATTTAATAAAGTGAGGGTATTATGGACATTTTTTTTTCTTTGAGGTAGGAGGTAGGGAGAAAGGAAGAGAGGGGTTCATTCTCCAAGAATAATGAATAAGCAAGCCACATCCTCTACAACAACCAGACAGCTTCTTGTAGGATGAAAAGCCCTGGATGAGAGACTCAGTCACTGATAGACCTGGTCCAACTTACCATGAGCTTTGGAAATTTACAACCGATCTGTACATCCAGTTTCTCATTTGTGTGGTGGGAATAATAAATTCTTGTCTCTCAATTATATTGTGAAAAAGGAAAGAAAGGAATAATAGATAAACATTTACAGGCTTCAGGAAATTGTATTCTATAGAGATGTCTTTTATTGTTTTCAGTAATTTATCAGACTGTTTCAGAAAAGTAAAAGCACCCTGGCTGATTA